CTAAAGATGTCTGGCAAGGTACAGGTAATATTTGTTACTAACTCAACAGACATCTATAGTGAAAAGAAGCCTTCAGCACATGGTCTGAAACGGAACAGTGTGGGTGAAAATGAAGTGTAATCTGGGGCTTCAGCAGAGTTCTTTTAAGACCCAATGCTCTTTAACGGCTTCTCTCCACCACATTTGCCCTGTCTGTTCAAACACTGATTGATTACTTGAATTAAGTGGGTGTACCTGATCTTGGAAAGTTCAGTTTTCATTCGCTTTATTTAAATGAACTATGTTATGCTTGAAAAGGAAAAAAAAAAAGTCACATAACTGCAACTGACAACCGAGGTTTCAGTTTCAGGCAATACAACCTCACACTATGGAACACATCAAAGGAGGACAGTTTGTCTAATAGTAATAATCATGACAATGTATGTTTTAATTGCAGATAATAATGTAACAAAGAGATTCTTTCTATCCATATTGCACTGAACTTAATACTGAAATCCTTTCCATCTTTATAAAATCGTGCCTTACATTCCCAGATAGCTCCTGACTTAGACTTTACAAACCTCGTAACAGCAATGCCAGTTATCCTTTGTATCTACACAGGCAACTCTGCTTACCTAAAACTAGGTAGAGATACAAACCAAATCATTACCGATGGAATAATGCCTTAGGATAGACTGCCCTCAGGAGGCCACAACGAAATCTCTTCATATGGGATGTAACACTAACCCACTCACCACGCTCTAACTCAGCACAATTTATGTGCTTCTGTTACCATAAAAGAAAGTCTGTAAACACTGTTCCTCGCGACAGCTCCTACTTACAGCTGCAATATTTTAAAAACAGCAAAAGCAAAACCACCTCACCAACATTTTCTGTGTCCTGCTAGAAACCTCTGCTGCTGATCATCAGTTGCGACACATGCCGCAGAAGCAAGAAGACTAACATAGTTAACTACCACAAGATCTAAGTTACAAACACATTTCTTAAGAGATAAGCGGAAGTAAGGCTCCAGTGACCTATCTAGGAGGAAAGAAACAGTAGTTGATCATCTTCCCAACCAGTAGAAATAATGCAGAGAAGAGATACAAACCTACTAACTTTCTAGGCCTACAATGTGCTCCAACTGAAGCCCAGAACATGCAAATCATACTACCTATAAACTGAATCAAATGTAAAGGCAAGAGAAGAACAGTTTTAGGTTTCCTAACCTGGCAGTGACAAGGTAAGGCACATAAATGAGTAAATACTGCAATACACAATCTTCTTTTAGCAAGGAAAACCTTTGTGAAGCAGAAACCCAGTTGTGTTAAAAAAATGAAAGCAATAATTAGAGGTGAGTCAGAAAGCGGGTTGCTGTACAGAAGGACTGCATGCCAAATTAAATGACAGCTGCAAAAGCAGCCACCCTCAAAACAGGCCTTCATGGTCTGTCTAGAAATTCTGGGTGGGTGGTGAAAGGCCCTGCAGGTACCAAGTGACATGGAGTAGGGCAGGAGAAAAAAATGTGGAGTGCAACAGAGTAAGTTAAAGACCAGACCTGGACAGCAACCTCCTTTCAAATGCTCCCAAGGCTAGATCATAATGCAAAGTTTCAGTGTATTCCTGAAAAAACAGTTGTAGGAAGAGAAGTGCAGAAACACAGAGTAGTGGGAATTTGTAAAACAGTTCATTCTAAACCAAAAAAAAAATGTAGGAAGATGTTGGTACCTAACAAAAGATTACAGGAGAGTTTTAAGCAATATAACAGGTGAAGAAACATCACATGTGTAAGAGCACACATTTTTACTTCTTCTAGGAATGGAATCACAGAAACTTTGTATGTCTAATAAGAGAGTGGACTGTAGTTTTCAAAATTTTTTTAAAAATTCAAATTTCAAAAAGGCTGGCTTTGTGATGGTAACTTTTATTTCTGCAAGAATATTGACCAAGTTTATTAATAAAGACAACAGTCCACTACTGCAAACTTCCATAAAAAAGCAGCAGCTTAAAATAAGGAAATATACTAAAATGAAACCAAAAGGACTGTCAAATGAAGATGCAATGCTTGATGACACAACACTAAGACTGTATGCACAGAACTTCAGTATAACAACTTTAAATACACATGACAAATTAGACATTTTTTTTTGTGGAGAGGGCATGGATTGAAAGCTACTAGATTTTAAAAGTCAATCTGTGTAAAACCTACAGTCTAGCTGCAGCAGTCAAATAGAATCTGTCACTGAATGTAAAATTTCCAGATAGATCAGAGTGTAGACCAACAATTTGCCACAGTGCCTACACACTGAGCACCTGTGCCTGAATAAGGCAAGTTGATGATCAAAATAAAAAGCAAAGTGCTCAGGGAAGGGAAGGTCACAGAGGAAAAAAAAAAACAAACCAAAACCAAACCTCTAAACAAAACGCTAAAGTAGTTTTTGGTACCATGAAGGAACTTGAGCAAAACCTCTACAGGCAACACATTTGAAGGCTTTGCCCCTCAGAGGTTACAGAGGAGAGTGACAAATGGCTGGGACCAGGGGCTATCACTGCCTAATTCTAAAGGAAATCAAGTAACTGCAGTGTGAAACTTCTGAGTTAAAATTGCCTCCTTACAAAATGACAGGAAGCTGGCAAAAGTGAAGCAGGATTTGGGGAGTTTGCTGGGTAGAGGGATCACTTGTTTTTAAAGAAGAGATTCCAGAGGGATCCAGGGAACTACAAACTCATTTTATTTTTCTCTACATAGCAAACTGCCAGAAGTTGTTCCAAAGCCATGGAAACAACTGAATAAATACTGAGGAAAGTCACAGATGCTTTTGCAAAGCAAAGTCATGTTCGATAAACATTTTAGAGTTCTTCTAAAGACTAAAAAGAGATGAGAGTAAGGAGATCTAATCCAGCATGCTTGAAATTCTAAAAGGCATCTGACGCACTCCCTTGCCAAAAACCATTAAAGATGCTGTGCTGCCAAGAGAAGCTGTCATATCAATAAATTGTTTCAAGATAGGAAAGAAAGGGTAAGAATCAGCAATCGTTCTTTCCTAAGGACATGGATCGCCAACAGACCACCAGGCACCTATGCTGAGGGTAGCAAAGCACAGTCCATTCTGAAGGGTTCTGAGACAGCAACTTGAAAAACCCACAGTATTGTCTACTAACACTAAGGTACTCAAAGGAATAAAGGCGGAAAGGAATTAAACCAAAAATTGCAGAACCATTGCACTGAGGAAACAGATGTTAAAACCAGAAGACTAAATTTACTGTAGATGAATGGGAGTAATTCACACTGGGGAAAATACAGAAAACCAGACCTAAATACATATGTAAGGAAATGGACTCCAAGTTGACTATTAATTATTCAGGACTGAGTTATTATTCTTATATAGCTTCTGAAAACATAAGCGTAAAGGTTAGGAAAAGGCAAAACAATTGGGTATTATTTTTGGAAGCAATAGAAACCAAAACCCAAAACTTTTTTTTTTTTTTCTAAAATAAATCCACAGTGAATACTGTGAGCATTTCCACCTGCTCCTTCCTCCTCGAGAAATTGGAAAAGTAAAGCAGAAGACAATGAAGACAACGTAAGGCACAAAAGTTTTCCAGCAACAAGCAACTAAAAGAAATAAGATTCTTCAGTTTGAAACAAAAACAATTGAGGCAGGCAGGATACCATTGAGCTCTACAAATTCAAGAGCAACACATTGAGAGCACCACAGGGTTGCTATAATGTCTCATCAACTGTGAGAAACTGCAGGCCTCAACCAGAGCTATCAAATGGCAGATTCAAACATACCAATCACAAATTGCTGGAGGTACATAAGTCTTCTACGGAGACATCACCATGCACTGGATCTGTTACTGACCCTACACATTCACTACTTCCACAGTCCGAGACATGACACCAGGTCAGACAGAACCCCAGTCGGAAAAACAGGTATGACTTCTCAGAGTAGCTGTACACAGTAAATGCTGAAATGGATCACTGCTTTTTAACTAGTTTTCAGTTCTAATTTACCACTTTGAAGAAAAGTGAAAAAAAGATATTTTAAAAATATGACTTTAAGGCTGCAGACACTTCAGTCTAGTCCTATAGCAACAGCAGTAATAAAACCATAGTATGTATCGCAAATTTTTTTAAAAATTACTTAGCAGTATACTGAGATTCTTCTGGGGGTGTTATTCCAGATTTTGATCACAAATATAAACTAAAAATGCCATTGCTGATAACATTTAACAGTTCCCTTACCGAACAAAACAAGGGATAATAGTAATCAGGGTCAGAACTCACTACGATAAAATTATTTTTAGCCTCTTAATTTTGCCTTCTGGTCAAGATAGTCACACAGGCTTTGCCTATAAAATACTAAGGACAGGTACTGGCAGCGGCCATGTTACTAATCTACTTGACTAGTGAATATGGGAGTACCAGCTGTCCTTCCTCACCTGTAGTGCCCTCAGAAAAAATTAATATATTCTCTGGCCAACTCCTCCTAGGAAAGAGAAGCACAACTAGCAATTACGTTTCTGGTGCAGACACATAGGACACATAACTTTTCTCAGCAAGTAACACCATCTCTCTACAAAGGGGTAACATTAGGATTCAGACTCCTGAGAGGACTACACCTTTAGTGGTACTTTATATTCCAAAGCGAGTAACACAACCAACTCCAAACCCCCCTGAATGTACAACCATTCCTTGTATTATTTCTCAATACATACCTGCGAGAAGCTTGAACATGCACTGTCTTCTGGCACAAAGACAAAATTTCTCAGCTGCACAAGTGAAGAAAATCTCAGACTTTAAAGACTCAAAGTTATCATCAAGTGAGATCTCTTCTTTCTGTACTTCGGTTTGTGCCAAGACGGGAAGTAATTTCAAAAGCTGAATCAACATCTGGATTGTGATGCAATGAACACCGGAGCTAAGAAGTGAAGGTCCTAAACCACATGCATAGTTTTCTTCAGAGGTGATAAAAACATCAATTACCAAAAATTACTTGATCTCAATAGAAAAGCCTGAGGTCAAATTTTTGATAATTTTTCAGCAAGAGAAGAACACTCAGGACCATTTACAGCTGAATAATTACTTTGCTTCAAAAGCTGCTTTGAATAAAATAAATGGCTATTTTATTGACTGTACATACATATTAAAGAGCATCAACATAACACAGTTAAACCGAGCTCTCAAGAACATATACAGCAATACACCTCCACTTCACTCTGGAAATGGGATGTGCTTTCTAAACATCTACTGAGTCAGTAAAGTCTTTTATGCAGCCAGGGCTGCAACTCTGCTGTTCACCAGTGTACGTGCAGCTCAAACTGAGAGTATTAGAGCATTAGCAACTCCACTGACCAATGCACAGACCTTCCCTGTCTATATGCAACTGATACTGGATTACACAAGCGCTGTACATACATCGAAGACTGCAACCAAGCAGGTTTTGTCTTTATAAAAACACACTGTGTATAATTAAATCTCCTAAAGGCAATTCACATATGCTGAAGATACAGAAGCTCCTACCTTTGTAGTATTAGCCACAAACAAACAAAACCCAAATGAAACTCCCTGACGCTTTGTAGGGACTAACTGATAAGAATAAAAAATTACACAGTTTGCAATCTTCAGCCTACATGAAAAACTTGATGCAATCATACCTGCTAATCAATATACATGCCCCTGCAATTTATTAACCTCTGTATAACATAGTTTGAATAAAATCTCTACTCCATCCCAAACTGGAAAACACAACTTTATAAAAATACAGTGCTTTAAAAATGTATCAGCACATTATTTAAAATCATCACTACACAAAAACCAGATCTTTTTCAAATTGTTACACACACAGACTTCAGAGTACCAAATGGAGTCTACCAGGTAGCTAAACATACGTGCTGGAACCCACTGCTGCTGAATTTCTCCTCTGACTTCAGAATATCAAGGGAATTACGTACATGAATCTTCAACTAATTTCCACCACCCCCACCCCTTTAATTATTTATATATTACCATCATGATTATTTAAGGAGGTACTTATTCAGGGCAGTATTTAAGTCAGAAGCTGCAAGCCGCCATCTACAACTAGAGTACTCCCTGTAACATAAGGAGACTCTAGAAGAAAGACAACAGCTTGTGCAACTTCACGAGGCTCTCCAAATCTTCCAAGGAGAATTGCTTTCTTCAACTGATCTTCTTCCAAATGAGCAGTCATCTCTGTGTGAATAAAGCCTAAGAGAGGAGAAAAGTTTGAAGAGTTACCTAACCTTCAGCTGTATTTCTCTAGCAGATTTTCCCTGGAATCCTCCAAAGTGAAATCTACTAGCACAACTCAGCACCAGCTACCATTCTTTAAAGTCTCAGAAGTCAGTTTACATCATTTTGTAGCCCAGAAGAAATTTTTACCTAATGTCTTCCATTTTTGAAAGCACTGATTTTATCACAAAAATGCAGAGATCTGTAAAAATCCATGGAGAAAAAAAAAAGGTAACTCTAAAATTGGGCCTCAAAACTGTATTTAGTATCACTTTTGTGAAAGACAAAATACAGTTATTTCACCAAAACATTCTCAATGAAAACATAGCTATAAAATCTCTGACAAGAAATCCCTACAGCTTGCAAGTGTTTCCATTATATTTTAGAACTTATGACAGCACTTACATAATTTCTATTATAGCACTCATTTGAATAATATTTCTTGACAAGTTTGAAGGATATTTCTTTACAACTTTCAGTTATCTGAGATCCAGTTTTCCCACTGCTGCACTTCTCTTTGCATAACCTGTTGCTCCATAGAGAGCTGATCTTACCTGCTTTCTAGCTGAAAGAAGGGAAGGTCTCAGTTTTGCTTTCTACTGTACAACTGTGCCCTTTTATAATGGGACTGGACCCTACAGTGAGCTGCTCAACTCAATAAACAATAAAAAGTACTTTTCCTGCCTAGCTCAGAAGCTGAACTGGTTCATGGAGAGGTCTGAAAGGCCTTAGAGCTAGCACAAGGTAAGCAACAGAGTACACAGCTATGAGTGGAAGAAGTCAGAAAAGACAGAAGGATTTTTCTTTAAGGGTGGTGGTTTGCTTGGACTAGATCATCTTGTGAAACCGCAGCCTTGTCCTCACATAACTTAGAACTTTCTTTCCAGACTCTCTTTTTCTACAAGGATAGACAGGGATGCTGTCATGCCAGCTTCTCATGGTCTTTCATGTTTCTCTAATAACAAATAAGCATTCTCAAGCAAGAGATGAGGGTAGCTGTCTGTATATAATTTGTTCTAATCCTTCCATCTGCAAGGACAGCAGGTTTTGAAGGAGGAACAAAGGAAAAAAAGAAAGACATTTGTTATGCAATAATGGATAGAGGAACAGGTAGACACACTCTTCCGAATTTCTCAGTGTTCCCTTAAAAAGACTGAAGGTTTTATAAAAGAATGTATTACACTTTAAACAAACAAACAAAAAAAAGACCTTAAAAGCATTTACTTACAAAAGTTGAATAATAGCAATTTGTCTTAAATTACTTTCAGAGTACAGCAAATATTCTAGCAGTCTTGATGATCACGTATTGCAAGAGTCAAGGATGTAGGAACTTCCCCAAAACTAACCTGGAGCAACCACGTTGACTCGAATTTGCTTTTTTGCTACTTCTTTAGCAAGAGAGCGTGAAAATCCAACTAATCCTGCTTTGCTAGCACTGTATACACTTTGACCAGAGTTGCCTTTAAATCCTACAATACTTCCTATAATAAAGAAACATCAAAGAGAAGATTAAATTATTAATTTGAAACCTTGTACCAGCTTTATTCTTTCAGTTTTAAATTTGCAATGGAAAAATGAGATTAAAAGAAAATGAATTAAAAGTATATTACTAAATGTACTTTATATCTTACTGATGGGATAAGTAAACCCCTTGATTATCTGCGATTTTTGTGGAATCCGTATATCTATATTGACCAACAGGAGAGTAAAATGAAGAGCTTTCTAAAAAAACATCCTTGCACAGGGTAAAAAAAAAAGAAAAAAAGAAACCAACTGCACCTATTTGATTCTTAGTTAATAACTAGCAGCTGGTAGACCTAGGTACTGAAAGAGCTGATAAAGAATGGTAAAATTATTTTTTCAGTAAAATAAACTCTGAGGTGTTGATTACTGAAACAAGTTGGTATTACATTTAGAAGTTGCTGAAATTACACAAAAGAATAAGCACTCATAAAGAAATGCTAAATATAGACTGTCTAAATACAAATAAAATAAGTTAATTGTAACAAGTAACATTTTAACATGCTACACCTGCTAAACCTTTGGAGAAAACTAGTGCATAGAATTCCACTGGATTAGACAAGCAACTTACCTATATTGACAATAGCACCTCCCTGTTGCTGAATCATGCTTTTTACAGCAGCTTTGCACGTCAACATTGTTCCCAAAAGGTTAGTGTGAATCTGGGCTATCATATCTTCAGTCTTGGTTCTCAGTAATAAACCATCCCTGACAAACAGACCAAAAAACCAAAAAGAACTCACTGAACAACATCAATGATCACATTTACTTATAATAAAACATGACTGATAAATGCAATATTAATGGGGATTTGCATGGTTCTATACGTTCTAACATTCAAAATGACATTGCAAGGACAACACATAGCAAGAAAAAAGTTAGCTATGCTTCTCTGGCAGCAAAGACTCATTTGCAGAGTGGTATCAAGAATTGTTTGGGGAGGGGAAGAAGTAGAAGAAAGAGGAGCAGAGGGACTCAAATTCAGAATGCAGAAACTGAAGTGAAAGCTCTATCATGTTAGAATTTTACTGTCATCAGGAACAAAATACTGCTGAGCACTTAATATTGTTTTCAGATGTGCTCATTAACAATACTCTTACTAAATGCAAAAGCCCTTAGAACCTTGCAATAAGGTGCCATCATCCAGAATGACACACAATCTTGTAACAAACAACTAACCTGTTGATCCCAGCTGCATTAACCAAATAGTTAATAGGACCTAAATTCCTCTGCATCTCCTCAAATGTACTTTGGACTTCTTGTTCGCTGGAGACATCACAGCGAAGTGCCAGATGTCCTGCTATATTGAAATAAAGGCACATTATAATAAAAGACAGTAAGCCATTCAGAAACCTTCTTCAGAATTTATTAACTCAACTACAACACCAAATGTTGAACTAATTATAACTTGAGAAACCCATTTAATCTCCAGAGAATTAAATCAGAACAATTTTCAAGTATTGTATTGATTAGTTACATGACAATTTCTTGTTTTATATCTTTGGCCTTTTGAAATCAGAAATTCAGCATGAGCAGACTGGTCTCAGTTCTGGCTTGGTCCCGAGCCATGGATGACTCAACTCATAACACCTCCCTGTTGTGACCTTAAACAATTCCTTTCATCTTACAATTCGTATCTTGCGGATAAAATAGCTAACATACTTAACTTTCCCAAAGAATATTGTGAAAACAAAATTGTACTGATAGAGCTTTTCTTTCAAATTTCTCAGTCTTTGTTTTCATTTTGATCTAGTTAAACAATGACGTTCATTTAATGACTTACTACTTTTACAAGTCACCTAAGCATTGGACAGTGAAGAAGTAATTGCAAAGCAGCATACATACCACCAAGATTACATGCAGTGGTTTGGGCTACTTCCAGATTTCTAGCAATAATCGCCAGGTGGCAGCCTCTCTGTGCCAGCAATTCTGCAACAGCTTTTCCTATTCCTCGGGATCCTCCAAAAATGGCACAAACCTTGCCCATCTTCAAAAATAATTCACAAATTACAAATAGAAGATGAATTTCAGGTCCAGTATAGCAAGAGAATAACCACTGTTCTGCCATCTTCACAGCTCTTACTAGTTTGTATCATTTTGTAGTATCAGTATAGTGATTTGTTAATTTTTTTTATTCACCAGAAGTTAGACACCACTTCTAAAAATGCAAGTTAATTCTTCATGATTTCTGAACTAATAAAAAAATTAAACATGTAATCTAGCATTTCAATACTAGTGTTACAGCAGCTCCTAATTTAGTTGATAAAATGTGACATATATCTAAAGGTCATAATGTATCACTCAGCTGTTTATTCAAAGCAAATGTCCTTTTAACGATGTTGTTCTTGCAGGCACTGTTCTTGTACTGATGTAATTTAGCCTCAAGGTCTCACTCCATCCTAAGTATCTATGTTGGACATCCACGTTGCAAACATTACTGAGTATGATTTGCAACTACTGTATTTACACTAGTTTAATACTAAGTTACACTATATAATACTCTGCTTTACCACTAGCCTTAGGGTTATTTCTCCTTTTGAAGAAAAAAAAAAAAAAAAAGCTTTCTGAAATGTGAAATGATTCTGAAGTAGCTAGCTTAGGTGTTCAGGAAGGAGTGTAAGGAGAAAGGACTTCTGCAGAATGACGTTTTATTCTGCAACCTCTAGAAACCAATCAGCTGCTCTGAGATTTCCTGAGGAGCCAGAGGCAGAATACAAGCAATGGTAATGAACCTCTTCTCCATACATTTGAATAAATCCTTTTTGAACCCAATTATACTTTGTCTCCATAACATCCTGAGGCAACGACTTTCATTATTTGTGAAAAAGTACTTCCTTTTGTTCTTAATTTGCTCTCTAGATAATACTATGCACTCCTCATATCTTTCCCTTAATGTTCATAACTTCAGAGGTTCTCTTCTGTATTTTAGCCCCCATAGCTTCTTTCAGGTCTATTTAGTTACTCTTATATATATGGAACCAACTCTGTATCTCTAAAGACTGTCCAAGCTCTTAATCCTGCCACCCTCCCTTTAGCATTACTTAGGTCTATTATAGGCTTTCTGATGTGCGATAACCAGAGCAGCATGTACCGTTAAGCATACAAGGACACCATCAACTCATACAATGACATAATAATTTTGGTTTTCTCTGACAGGGCCTGAAAGAACAGCTGGTCCTTTTCTGCAACAAAGTAAGCACAGATGCTTGAAATCAGCCCATGTGTCTGCTTCCACTGGCAATCTGAAATCCACTTCCTAAAAGCAGGAAGAGGATTAAATACTTGCATGTCAGGTGGTGGCCCTTTCAACAGAACCCACAGAAAACGTCCTGCATGAAGACAATTCCTTAGTGATAAAATGGGCACCACTGACTCACCAGAAAGACTAATCCTTTGGGCACACTTCAGTAGGTAGCCTGACTGCAAGAGATGAATCGAGAGGTCTCGCAGACTGGCAACTACTGCTCTTATTGTCTTAGCAGACTGAAGGTGCAACCAACCAACCCATATTTTGTTGACTGATTTTTCTGTTAGAAACAAAGTCTGTCTGCCTTTGCTATCATGACTCATCTTTTACTGAATTACTACAGTAACTCCTGGAAGTTCTTGCCTACTTGTTGCAGTAATGTGGTACTAGGATTTTCTCCTTCGTATTCTGTTCTTACCAGCACTGAGCATACCTACTCTTTGTATTTGAAATATGGAATAATACAGATCCAGGGGGATCTCTGGAAGTCATCTAACTCCTCCACCCCTCAGCGATGTCAAGGGAACAATCTTACACTGTTTATAAATGCTGTCAGACTTCTATATGTTTTCCAAATAACTCTAAACGTGCTTAGCTACACAGGACCTAAAAAGCTGCCTATGCAAAGAGAACTTTAAAACATATCATTCTACCCTTCCTAGCCTCTTTGAGAAGGGGAAAATTCTTAGTGATTCTACTGTTCTTAGAAAGAATAGCAGGAGTTCCTTGTCCATTACCCAAGTATTTACAGGGGGCGGCGCATAAGGCCCATTTCCAGTGCAGCACGATACAGCTGGTGGCTTAGCACAAGAGTGCCACACAGATTCTCTGGAGCTCTGACTTAGGAGACAATAAATGCAGTAGGAGTAATAACGCTATATTCCCTGGTCAAATAAAGTTAGGGAAAAACAAGTATCTTCTGAGCAACAGGCTCTTCTAGGTCGCCACACAGCACAGACGAGTGCCTGTGCAACCTTTGTCCTCAACGTCCTTTCTCTTCTCTCAGAACCAGCGATTTGATCCCTGAGCGCCAGGGCTGCAGCGGCACTCCCCCTGACCGCCTCAGGCGCACGGCACCGCACCCGCTGGAGGACACCCGCCAACAAAGGCGGCTCGGGGTGCCGCAGCCAGCCGGGCCGAGCCGGGCCGCCCCGCGCCACCGCCCGCACCTGCGCGCCCTCAGCCGCCTCTGGACACCGCCCCAGCCCCAACCCTCCAGTACAACCC